TATATATATATATATATTGTTTGGTCGATTTGTCATCTGGATCTCTAGTTTCATTTTGGGCCTTGTTCCTTACCCAGTTTTGCTCCTTTAACTCGCATGTATATTTATTTTTGGACTGTTGGAGCAGTAACCACTATGTCATAAGGGTGTGAGCTCAGTGAAATTACCCATTACAGATTTGAATATTGTGGACAACCCACCCAAGTCGTACCTCATGGAGATCCTAATTTGAGTATGATATAAATATTTTATCTATGAAAAAGATTACAAGTATGAGAATTCAACCCAAGTTTTCTAACTTTAATATACAATTTTAGAAGAATTTTAAAAGTTTGTTTTATAGAAAATATAGAACTTATTTAATAAATAAATTTTTAAAAGTTATTTTAAATTTGTATTTTTTAATTATGTTATTGGTAGGAAATATCCACCAACCTTATCATACCTCATTTTGTGTTGAAAAATATGATTGATCATTTTTAATGGAGTTTTACCTTCCTACCATGTTTTCTTTATGCACAAGGCTAGAATCCAAAACTTCTCAAAAATTCTTAAAATCTTATATTTAAGCAAAATCTTTATCAACTTGCAACAAATCACACATCAAAGTACTTACTCCATTTCATAATAACTACAGTTTTAGCATTTAAAAAATGTTATCAAATAAATAATGTTCTCGCTTTTTAATGTAAAGTAATTATTTTTTTCTTGATTTTTCCTCTTATAAATTATTCAATCATCACAATTCAAAATACTGTAATACATTTATTGGGAAAGCAAACTATTTTAGTAATACTCCCTCTATTTTTTTCTGAGACGTTTTGACACTATTTTTTTTGTTCAATTTTTATTGTTACTTTTCTAAAATCAATGACTTATTATTTATTTAATTTTGTTCATTTTTACCCTTGATAATTAATGTGTGTTTACTGAATAATGTGTTTATTCATTTTCAATGTACCTATTTCTTCTCCAACCACCTATGTGAAGTTATTGCTGCATTTATGAGTGCAACATATTTCCAACGTATATGACTACCTATTTGATCCCTTCTATCTCTTTTACTTTCATGATCAATTGCTATTTTTCTTGTCTTCTTCCTTTTTTAGGATTAAAATATATATTAAAAAAAAACATAGATAGCTATTTACACATTCTAAAGATAGTAGAAAGTCTTGATGGATTCGGAAAGAGTAAAAGACTCTATGGAACGAACTCAAGACTTTTTAACTTTAGAAAGGGTAGAAGACTCTATGGATGAGACTAGAGAATCTGTAAATTTAGAACTAGTAAAAGATTCCATAGAAGGGGTTCAAGACTCCATATTTGGAAAGGGTAGAAGACTCACTCGATTCTGTGTTAATTAAAGATGATGAGGAATCCATAAATTCTACACTTTTATGGAGAAAAGAGCACACTTGGATATAGATTTAAACATTTCAGTTGATCGTGAGTTTGATTTAAATATTTCTACTAATTAAGGATTTGATCTGAATCAAATTCCAGAGGATGAAGATGGAGCCAATCAAATTCTAGATGATGAAGATGAAGCCTTGGGTAAAAATGAGATATATAAGAGAAACAGTGAGTGTCATGCTAATTGTTGACCACCTTCACTATCATTTCTAATTGTGTGAACTCAACATTCAAATCTGGAATTTTATTTGAACCCATGTTAGTAGAGATGTAATTTTCTTGAGCTTAAAATGAGATATATATAGTGAAGCTATTACAAATCTTTTAGAGGGAACACAAATATTTGAATAGTAATCTTTTGGTGGTAAGCAAATTTTAGATTAATCTTGATAGAGGTAATATCATTCATCCATGATTTTTTTTTCTTTCTACAGTATTCATTCAAGAATTAGGATACCCAAAAGACACAATTTACTTAGAGGTATGATTAAATGGAGTAGGTTTCAGCTCACATGTGTATTTCAACAACCAATGCATTAACTTATGGACTAAAGTGCATAACAACAATAAGTGTACACACATCAACAATCTTAAGGCTTGAATGCAAAAAAAAATAAAAAGAAAAAAAATATAACAAAAAAATAAGTAATAAATATTTTTAAAACTAAAATATCAATTATTTTCTTAATTCTCATACATAAATCTTAAATGTCAAAAAAAAATAAAAAAGAATATTTTATTATCAAAAGATGATACATTTATTATTTTTTTTAATTTTTTTTTTCGTCCCTGGAGTATTATTATTTTTTTAATTTATGTTTAAAATCTTAAACTGCAAATATTGTAAACCAGATGTACTATACCTAAAAAGTTTGTTCACAAATTTCAAATACAATAAATAAATAAAAGATTACGTTCGGGACTTTTTGACCAATGGGAAGAATACATAAAAGGGCAAAGCTAATTGGTTTTCCTTAGTTGTTGAGTGCAGATGGACTATCCTACTACTTATTCAAAACAAGTCATTATACCTATTTGTCCAATAACATTATGAAATTAGGAGTTAAGCGTTGCTTTTAATGTTTTTAATTAAGAGCGTCAAATCCCTCAAAACGTTCTTTTTTAATTAATCGTGCCTTGTTGAGTAGATCACCGTGGACAAAACTAAGCGCCCTGTGACTTTGAATTGCAAATCAAAATCTCCAATTGATCAATTCCACAATGTTGATGACCAACCACATGAAAATCTTTATTCAACTTGTTCACTCTTTTGGAATCTTCTTTTTAATAAAAAGGGTCAAACCAAATTCAACTTCATTATAACATGATTACAAGTTTTCTCACGTGAAGAAGAAAAAGAAAATGCTCCTTATAAGCCTCGTGAGGCTGGACTTTTCACTGGAAATAAATGGTAAAGTGCTTCTTTGGGTGAAGTCTCGTGAAACTCAAAAGCCATGGCCTTGAATTGTTACATGATGGTCCTTGTGTTTTTGCTTGTCAGCATGAGCTTTTATGGAAATGTTGATGCACAGAAAAATGGCTTAGGGGCCTCTTTCATCTTTGGGGATTCCTTGGTGGATGCAGGAAACAATAACTATTTGTCAACTCTTTCTAAGGCAAACATCCCTCCCAATGGAATTGATTTCAAGGCCTCTGGAGGAAACCCCACTGGCCGATACACCAATGGAAGAACCATTGGTGATATAGTAGGTAATTTTTTTCCTCTTTAATAAACAATTAATATTTTGATTCTTCTAAACAACAATGTTACATGCATAATACACTTATATTATCTAAAATTCAATGAAACTATATTGTGAATTATTTTCATTAACATACAAGGTTTAATTTCTATGAAATATTAGTGTAAAAAATGTCATCATCAGTGTGGCTTTTAAAGATAATTATTGTAAAATCAACAAGTTTAACATAATAACGCTTTAGGATTAGATGATAATGTAAAAATGTTTTACATTGTGAGTACATATGCTATTTACTTTAAACATTTATCTCCTTTAATTTCTTATTTATTATATAATTTTTTTAGGAAAATCGGTGTAATGTTGAAAAAAATGAGATATTGAAGACAATTTTATTAAACATCGGGAATATGGGTGTACTTTTTTTAATACTCTATCAATTTTAAACAACTTTCTTGATGATTGATGAATAATAAAGTTCAAGGAAGTGTGAGGAACCAAATACTGTCCAAAAACAAATTGTGTGGAGAAAACTTTTTTTTTTCTTAATATAATGTTTTGCTATTTATATTTGAATATTTTGGATCAGGAGAGGAATTGGGACAACCAAATTATGCTGTACCATTTTTATCGCCAAATGCAACAGGGAAAGCCATATTGAGTGGAGTGAATTATGCTTCGGGAGGAGGAGGGATACTGAATGCTACTGGAAGAATATTTGTCAGTATTTTTTTCTGAATTAATTTTATTCATTGTTTAATAAGGAATATGATTGTGTCATGTCACGTTCATAAAAAAATTTTCAGGTGAATAGGATAGGAATGGATGTTCAAATAGATTACTTCAGCATAACAAGAAAAGAAATTGACAAATTGCTGGGTGAATCGAAAGCGAAAGATTACATTATGAAGAAATCAATTTTCTCTATCACTGTTGGGGCCAATGATTTTCTCAACAACTACCTTCTCCCAGTTCTCTCTATTGGAGCTAGAATTTCGCAAAGTCCAGATTCATTCATAGATGACATGATTAGTCATTTCAGGACCCAACTCACGGTATGCATCTTCATCTAGACCAGTAAATAGTTTTTTGATTCATTGCATCAAGACCAGTAAATGAAATTAAATACCATTGATCACTTTAACAAGTCTCATTTACCAAATCCTTATTATTGAAAGAGACATTTCGTGGTTATATATATTTATTTTTAAAAATATAAATATAATAAAAAAAGTTAAAAGAAAAGTATGTTAATTTCACTTTTTTAAAAATATAAATATAAATTAAAAGAAAAGGGTATGTTGATTTCACTTTGCAGTGACTGATGAATAAAAAAATATAAAGAAAAAAAAAAGTGGTTACGTCTTCTTCATGAGCGATTGTATCTTATTTGTGAGTAGTTTCATATTTATAGTTATTAAGGTATTATTATCTTGAAAAAAAAGTAAAAACTCAAATAGAATATCTCTTTTACATAATATTATTATAGATTATAAATTATAGGTATTTTGTACCATCATTCGCCTTCTAAAATTTATGACTAAAAATAATTTAGGGAAAGTGTTAAAACGTAAACTATTTTTTTTTCGTGTTTGGGTGGAACTGTGGAAGAAGAAAAATAGAGATAGAAAAAATAATGAATGTCATAAATAATTTGACGATAAATAAGAGAAAAATATTTTTTATTTTAATTTTTATGTATTGTCAATATAAAATATTTTATATTATTAACTGATTAAAAATTATAGTAAGTATGATTTTTAAAATAATTATAAAATTCAATTGATTTATCATACATGCCTATTACAAAATGGTAGTGTGTGTAATTTTTTTTTTGTTTTCGATGCTTTTTTTCGTAAAAGTAAAATAGAAGAGAAGTTGCGTGAATAATAATGATAATAATAACAATTTTATTAGTATTTAGTTTGATTTCTATACTTTTATGATATCTAACTTTTAGTATTTATGCATGTACTTTTTAACTAGTTTTAGTTTCTAAACACAAATTTTAATTCCCTTTAGTCATAAAATTTTGAACCGGGGAACTAAAATGGATTAGAAAACACATATGCATAGGAATTAAAATATGTAATTTTTAAGTGTAGGAAATAAAATATTAAAAATCATATATATATATATATATATATATATATATATATATTATATAAAGAGAATATATGTTGGTAATCACCTTTTGAGTTCCACTTTTTAATGGATCATTATACCTCTTAGATATATAAAAAAAAAAATCTTTTATATTTTCTCTAAATAACTATCTGCAACTTCTAATATTTGTTTGTGTATAAATTATTAGAAATACGAAGTATCTCAATCTTTCTAGCACTAATATATAAATGAAATATTCTTTTTAGTAACTACCTTGATCTCCACATTTTATTGATCATTATATCCTTTCACTTTAAAAAATTAGAAAAAATATTTTTTTATCAAAATCAAGATCTTAAAATTAATGAAGTAATCATAACTCTAGATCAACATAAATTTATTATTTAATTTTTATTTTTATTTTATCTTTAATAAAAGTACAAAGTATCTCGATCTTATTAGTATATATAATACAAGTAATTAAATCAAACATACATTTTTAATTATGTTCAACAAGCTTGAAATTAATTTGATCAAAATTAATTTCACTTAATTTCTTTATGACTTTTGAACAACTTGATTATGATAAATAGTTTTAAAAATTGACCTTCAATAGTGGGAAAAAAAGAAAAAGAATTGTGACTTGGTGTGTTTGTATGACAGAGACTTTACGAAATGGATGGTCGAAAGTTTGTGATTGGCAACGTTGGGCCAATAGGCTGCATTCCTTACCAGAAGACTATTAATCAGCTGAACGAAGATGAGTGTGTGGATTTGGCCAACAAGCTTGCCCTTCAATATAATGCTCGTTTGAAGGATTTGATCGCTCAGCTAAATGACAACCTCCCCGGAGCCACCTTCGTCCTCGCTAACGTCTATGATTTAGTCTTGGAACTCATCAAAAACTACGATAAATACGGTAAATATAATATACTTCCTCTCATTATAATCTCCATCTTAATCATTCTCTAACTATACCATTTTCACTTAAAACCATCTTATTTAACTTTCTAAGGTTTAATTTTTGTCTTTTTTTACTATAAAATTGTTTTGCAGGATTCACAACCGCAAGTAGAGCTTGTTGCGGAAATGGGGGCCAATTTGCAGGGATAATTCCATGTGGGCCTACATCAAGCATGTGTACAGATAGGTACAAGCACGTGTTCTGGGATCCTTATCACCCAAGCGAGGCTGCAAACCTAATCCTAGCCAAACAGCTACTTGACGGAGACAAGAGATACATATCTCCTGTGAATCTTAGGCAACTTCGGGACCTTTGATCTTTCTTCTTTTATTCTTCCTTCCCTACAACTTCTCCTTCTTCTTCTTCTTCTCCACCATACCTACTATCATACATTATACACTGCTTCCTTTATTTACCATAAATGTAATTTTATTTTCAATATCTTATTATATGTTATGTGGACGTTTCATCAATTGACCCTAGCTACTCTCAATTAGACGTGGGGAGAATTTCATTTTCTTGTCCCTCTTGATGGTGACCATTTGGCAATAGGCAATAGGTAGTTTATATTTTCCACATTTTCCACAACTTCCGCGCCTTGCTTGTTTAAAAAGTCTAACCAAACCAACCTATGACTTACAATTATCGATCTATTGGATTTTGCCATAATGGTCACAACCAATAATAGTCATTGATTTAATAATAAACTAATACGCGGTCGAGATTTATGTGGTAACCTATCAAACAAGTTTTTTTTTTTTTTTAAAAAAAAAAGTGTGAAAAATTGCAGTTTGACCTATGTGTAAAATTAGTTTTTGGTATAACCACCGTGTAAAGTTAGTTTAACCTACGAAGTAGAACTAGGAGGCAGGTGTAGAGGAAGGAGGTAAGGAGTGTTGCCAAAATTATAAACGACAATTCTTTAGGGCAAACTACTAAATACCATAGAACTGTCTACGAGCAGTTAAAATTTAAGACCATCACACTATAGGACATTGTAGAAGATTCCTAATATTTACCATCTGTCTAATTTGCAGCATGAATGAGGTCATGGAAAAATTAGTAATACGATTGGATCAGAGGAAAAAGTGAAAGGAAAGAAGAAAAGAAAAATTAAAGAAAGTACGTACCTTCAAAATTTTCTTGCAGCATATAATTTTAAGCTCCATTTTGATCCAAGTAAAAGATGATATTTTTTCAATAATTTTTTAATGTGATAATCATTATTTATTTTAACATTATATAATCCATTGAACACTTTATATCCTAGAAATGGATACATTTGAACAATAAAAATATATTATCTGCTGTGATGTTTCACAACTCCTATAACTACTAACATGTAAACAAAGTGTAATAGAATGAGTTCAAAACTGTGGACTGAATATTAATATATATTTACTTTCTATTTTATATTATTTTCATCTTATTTTTATAATTTTTTTTGTTATATCATTTTTTATAACTATCATTATTTTTTCTTCCCACATATATATACCACTTCAATATATCCACGAAATTTGCAGGTATACGTTCATCATTGATGCATATATAGTAAACAATTCATATACAGTGGTTGTGATGCATGTAAACAATGAATAACTGTATCTGCCATTACCCAAAACTTATAAAGTATAAGTTTACGAGTGTCTAAAATATTTTTATAAAAATTTGATAAATATTTTAAAATTATAAGAAAATTAAATAAAACCCAAAACTTATTTTGGGTTTACTATCTAGATTATAGGAACTTAAATTTTTTTAAAATTAATAATACAACAATAACTTAATTTTTTTAACTTATAATCTAGTTAAAAAAATCTAAAATATGTTATGGGTTGGTGTCCCTAATTTTAATTTGTTATAGTGCCCCTAATTTCTAACTACAAAGACTATCCCCCCTCTCTCTCTTTCCCCCACACACACTCGCACACACACACAAAAATCCTATGTAATATAGAACCACAAAACAATCCCAAACGGCCCCTAAACACAACAACAAACTCGCTCAGACATTTTCACGAACAGTTGTTATGCATGTCCCTAAAACTCCAAAATCAAGACATTCCAACACCCAGTTAAATCATCTCCAATTCAGAAAAATCAACCACAAGTTTTAAATTATATCAACTAATTCATCCTATTAACAGAAAAATGCAAAAGAATAATGGAAAACAAAATCAAAATAAAAAGGAAAAAAAACACCTACCTGTTTGAAGTTGTGCCGTAGCAACTTGCGCGAAGGAGAAGGTGGAAGTGGTCCTCGATGCCTTTGCAGGTTTTTGAAAGTAAAAAGCAAAAATGAAAGCAAAAGGAAAATGACAAGTGTGTATCTTAAAGAGGATGGGAGCAAGTCACAATGAAATTTGTCATTTACACGAGATTTGTCACCATAAAAAAGAGTTTGTTGATGAAGAATCAGTTGAAAGCCCAAGATTTTGATTATTATAATAGTGTATAATATAGTTGAGATTAAGCCTAACTTGTGTTGGTTATTTTGTTTTGTACATGTTTTGCTTTGTGCATCGGTTTAAATCATATGTTATCTTATTATATTTTTAATTGGTTGATGATGATCATGTTTAAGATTTAAAATTGATTTGAAATGAAAAATACAAAATTTTGAATTTTTACTTAAAATAATAATCGATTATTTTCCTTTGTTTTTAAGTTACTTGGAAACAATTATTGAAATAATTGATTATCTAATAAGTAATCGATTATTTAAAAAAAATCTTGAAAATAATCAATTAAATGAAAAAATAATTAATTAAATTATTCTTGGATGATTTTCAAATTCATGAAGAATAAATTAATTGATTATCATTAAAAAAATTAGTTATTTCACATAAAAAAAATTATAGAATGAATTTCATTTCAGAACTTAAGTGTGACTCATATTTTTACACTTCTAAACACTTGAATATTGAACTACGAATTTTTGAGAGAAAAACTAACCTTTTATCAATTGAAGAATTTATTATCATGAATCAAGGAAGCATGAGTCATCATTATCAATCTTAAAGATTGTAGAATCTGTTTAAGCCTTACACTTGTATTGCTTATTTCTTTAAATCAGGTGATACCCTTCCTTTATCTTTATTTAAATCTTAAGTGAGTTTCTCAAGTAGAAATGGTTACTTGTGGTGGAGTTTCTACAATGGTGGCACTTCTTAGGGTTCAATAAGTGAGGTTCTTTAAACTTCTAGAAATAGATTGCATGTGGTTGTGATTATAAAACTTTTGAATTTAGAGATTTAGTGATATTCTCAATTAAGTTGATTGGAAGACTGGATGTAGGTTGTGGTGGTTGTGATTGAACTAGTATAAATTTAGTGCAAACTATTCTTACCAATTCTCTTAGTTTTTTATTGCTTTATTTTGAATATTATCCATGTAATATGTTTGGTTAATTAAAAGAACATTATGTAGGTAGTATAATAATATCTTTTATGAATCAATTGAGTTAATTGAAAATCTTGAAAATTTTCATTCAAGAAAATTTCAAGAAAAAATTTTAAATGATACAATTCACCCTCCTTCTTAGATACAACTATCTTTTCTAACAATTGGTATTTAGAGCAAGATTTTTGAAAGTTAATCAAGTTTTCTTTGAAATGATTGGAAATACTTTACCTTATAGTGAATGAGTTTCAATACATTGACCCCCTATTTTTAATAGTGAAAACTATATGTATTGGAAAATAAGAATGAAAATTTTCATTAAAGAGCAATTGTCATAACCATTTGAGATGTTGTTGAAAATGGTCCATTTATATCTACTAGTGAGGAAAAAGGAAAGAAAGAAGAAAAACATTGAATTGGGTGGAGTGATGATGAAAAGAATAAAACAACACAATGTGATTTTAGAGCTAAAAACATCATTACATATACACTATCACATGATGAGTTCTTTAGTGTCTCACAACACAAATATTCTAAAGAAACGTGGGACACTTTACAACTAACTCATAAAGGAACAAGTGATGTAAAAAGATCTAGAAAACACACACTAATTAGAGAATATGAACTCTTGCCCGTGAAGCAAGAGGAAAATATTTCTAATTTTCAAAAATGATTTATTTGATAAGAAGCACAATGGAGTCTCGTTAAAAGCCACATTCTTCAAAAAAAAAAGGAAAGAAGATAGCTAAAGCTTCAAATGATTCAGATATAGAGCACTTAAATCTAATAATGATAATTTTGGCAAATTCTTAAGGAGAAAAAAATAAGCAAGCACTAAATTTCAACAAGAAGATCTTCAATAAGAAAGAAGGAAATGATGTTCCATTTACTTGTTTTGAATGTAGAAAGCAAGGACACATTAAGGCTGATTGTTCAATACTTGAAGAAGCAATAAGAGGATAAAAAAGGTAAAAAGACATCCAAAGCAACAAAGGCATACATAGCTTGGGAGGACAATGACATGAGTTCCTTTGGTGGCTCAAGAGAGGAGGAAAAAGCTAACTTGTGCCTGATGGCTGAAGCAAATTAGCAAAAGTGAAGTAAAGGATTCAAACCTTGACACTTCTTTCAACTATAAACAATTGCAAGAGGATTTCATCTAAGTGCACAAAGAGGCACAAAGTATTGGAGTCCTTAACAACAAGTTGAAAAAGCATATTCATTTAGTATGAAAACAACTTGATAAAAATAGAACAAGAGTTGAATATTTAAAATTGGAGCATAATTCTCTTGAAACAATTTCATATAAATGGTGAATGCTTTTGTACCATTATTCCTTCCTTACCAACAAAAAATAATTGTGAAACTTGCTTAGTGTTGAAGAAAGAAAATTCTAATTTGAAAGCCACACTTGCAAAGGTCCACCAATGGTAGGGAAAATTTAAATATGCTTTTGGGTAAGCAAAAACATGCCTTTAATAAAACTAAACTTGGTTTTAATTCAAGTGCTAAAAAATATATTTTATAAAAATACCACCAACTTTTTAAAAGGCATCCTCTAGACCCTCTATTACATGTTTTTATTACTATAAGAAAGGTCATACCATACTTAAAAGCATGTTGTTCTTAGTGGAAGATAGATTTTGGTTGCTAAAAGCGAAGGGTTGAATACCAACATAAAAGAACCTAACACTTGGATACCAAATTTTATCTTTTGATGTTCTTTTGTAAGAATGTTGGAGAGTCAAAAGTTTGATGTGGTATTTGGACAACAATTGCTCAAGACATATGATTGGAGATCCATCTAAATTTAAACTTGGGTTTCTCCCTATTGAGCAACTTTTTGGACTTATTTCATAACACGCATACATCTCATAAGCATAAATACTTCATAGCACAACATCTCAAACACACCTTTAACACTTCTCATATGCACATCACAGTTATAATTACTCCTTAAACCCTTACATAACAAATCATAACGCTACATTTCTCTCAATTTCCTCCTAGTTCTTAACACTCACCATTATAACTCACAAACATTTTTTTCCTTATTTTAATTTTCTATGACCTTTTATGGTATAAATGAAATATCAACTTGATTTTAATTTTATTAGAAAGCTAAAATAATTATGTACAACTTCTATATTGACCTTAAATGTTCATTTTATTGTTTACCATACATAAAAATTACAAAACCACAACATTTAAGTTTAATTTTGATAGCTTGACATTTTCTCATTAATTTAATCATAATTTGAGTTCACGACATCCTTTTAAAGTTATTCCAAAGCCATTTGTTACCTAACATTTATAACTCCAAATCTTATGTAGACTGTGAAGCCTAATTCGATAATATAATATGTTTAATATGGCACACAATTTTCTATACAAACTAAAGCCTAATCTAAGGATTCCAAATTATCCTTGACTCAATTATTCAATCAATTTAATCACTGATTCATTCTATTGGATTTTAAGACTCTAAGATTCCAAAAACATACCCCTACATTATTTCTTTAGGGTTAAAACCCAAATCCCCAAACACATTAATCAATAAATTTTAACATTATTACAACTCTATGAATTTAAGGGTTATCAGGGGTCTCATAATAACCTAACACTAGTACAAAAATCACTTTTAAAATCGGAGTTTTAAAATCGGCTCTTAAGCAGCCGATGTTAAAAGTGACGCGGTGGCAATTTTGTAAATAATGACATTACTTTTTAAATTGACTACCCTTTAACCGATTTTAAAAGGTCTCTGATGCAACTTTTAAAATCGGTTCTTAAGTAGCCGATTTTAAAAGTAACGCTTTTAAAATCGGCTACTGAAAAGCCGATTTTAAAAATGCTACTTTTAAAATCGGTTACATAAGAACCGATCTTAAAAGTGCTACTTTTAAAATCGGCTAATTAAGAGCCTATTTTAAAAGCTACTTTTTAAATCGGCTCATTAAGAACCGATTTTAAAAGTGCTACTTTTAAAATCGGCTAATTAAGAGCCTATTTTAAAAGCTACTTTTTAAATCGGCTCATTAAGAACCGATTTTAAAAGTGCTACTTTTAAAATCGATTCTTAAATAACTGATTTTAAAAAAGTCAACGCCTATATTTATTCTTTCCCTCCATTCTCTTTGATCTTTCCCTCTATTCTCTTTAATATTTTCCTCAATTTTTTTCTTTACTCTCTCTCGCAGTCACATCTAAAGTCTCTAGCTTCTCATTTTCTTTGCAAGACTATATCAAGGTAATATTCTAATTTTTTTCTCATGTCTTGCATTTCCGTAAATTTCAAATCTGGAACGGCCCGTACTGCAATTTGAACGAGACGTTCTGGTTGCCGTACGAGCCGTGCTACAACCAGAATGGCCCGTTCTAATTGCAGTACGGGCCGTTCCAGATTACAGTTTTAGGCCTTTTGAGGAAACTGGAACGACCTATGCCAATTTAAAAGTCTAATTTTTAAAATCGGTTTATGCATGACCGATGTTAAAAGTTAGTTATACTTTTAACATCGGTCATTGACCAATGTTAAAAGTGTCACTTTTTAAAATCAGCTCTTTTAAAATCGGTCAAAAAACAGATTTTAAAAATAAAAAATGACCAAATTTAAAAGTGTTTTTTCTACTAATATAAAGATTCATAATAGAATTCAAACTCAATCCATAATGAATCAAATACACAACATAGATAACAATTATACAATAAGGAAAATCAATTCAATTCACACAAACAACTATCATACCAAACACAATTTTAGGAATTCTCAAAATCCTTTAACCAAGAGGTTCTCTTTGTGAATTTGTGACGTTTAGAGTAGAAGTTAAGAAAAGCATAAAATACATGTGTAATTGAATGACCCCTTGTAAATAATACTCAACTAACCATACTACTGGCTTGCAAACAAACCCAACATACAAATACCTTTTATTTTTCTAAATAAAAAAATTATAACCCAAATTATAAAAGCATACTATATTTTTTTATTTTCAAAAAATCCTTCTTATTTAATAAAACTCATTTAATTATTTTCTAACTAAGATTTTACAAATTAATTTGATACTTTAATATTTTTTTTTGACTGAATTAGATACTCTAACTAAATATAATAAAAAATGTAATTATAAATTACATATGTGTTAGTCTCAAATATAAAAAAATTAAATTAATTTAACTTTATCTATTGTTACCATCTCCAAAATAGCTTTTATTTATTAAAGGTTATTTTATAAATGAAATTGGTGTAATTAAAAGATGTTTGTGAACTTAATTTAATTAGTGTAAACCAAAATTTTTTATTTATATATAAGACTAGAATGAGTATTTACTTGTTTTTTTCTTTTGCAGATTTGTACAATTCATATTTAGTCTGTTTGTGTAAATCTTTTTTTTTTATTTTAAATAACACATTTTCTTAATAAAAATAAATAAATATTTTTTTGTTTGTCTAAACTGCTTTCAAAAAACCATTTTTTATATATTTTTTTTAAGAAGCAACCCCAACTCCTTGTTTTAAGAATAATTTTTTATAAAAATATTTTTTAATTTTAAACAAACTGATCCATTATCGTATATAATTTCTATTTTCTTTGATTCTATTTTAAAAAAACTCATTTATCTAATTCAAGAAAGTTGGTTGATTTAGTTGATATTATTAATTAATTTTATCCTAAGTTTATGTTTATTTAATCCACCTCTAACATTATTCAGACTCCTCTACCAACTCTACTTGTTGAACTTAGTTGTGGATGTTTCTTGTAAAAAAAAAATAGTTAACGTAAGAGATATTTTAGTTTAATTTTTATAAAAGTGATAAAGTAACACTCTTGACTTAAAATTTATAAAAAAAAATACTAAATTGATTATATAAATAGTATTTTATTTATTTGGTGACAATAGATACAAAAAAAAGTATTATTTTATTACTTCTGAAATGGTGATTTGTTCATTAATAGAGCTAAAATGTTGGTTGATGGGTATCTAGGAGTAAAGGTCTTGAGAATTTTAAAAATAGTGACATTTTCTTAATCATGTCTTTTTGGAGATGAGGTTGGGGTTGAATGAGAAGATTTTGGAGCGTCTTCTTTAAATTTGGAAACTTTCTTTGAATTAGATTCTGTTCTAGGCCATTACCAATGAGCAGAGGTAGTAGGTATGTTGATTATATAATACTAAATACAATTATATTATTTGAAATTGAAAATAAAATATTAATTGATTTTGTATTATATTGACACCCTGCTCTATAATAATTTGTAGAATTTATTATGTGATTGTGTATGCATATGATAATGATATCCAGTTTGACGTAGGTGAATTTTGTTGCGTCTGTTTTGGCGTTAAAAAAGAATGGAATGTTGCGTTCAGAGATAGAGGCATTAAATTGTAAAAGGATGCTGGGGGATATCTTTTTTGGATGTAAATGATGGTTCATAATTCTGGTTGTAGTAAGCAATAATACCCCACGAGAAGAGAAAACGGAAGCGTGCGATGTTCCAATTCATTTTGATGGAGTGCAAGGAATCATGTGCGTGGAGAAAAGGCCAAAAAGAGGTCAGTGATTATTATTATTATTATTATTATTATTAGGATAAACACAAACATAAGCGAAGCGAGGATGATAGCGATTGTGTGTTTGGGTCCTCCGAGAAAGAAACAAGGGTCTCCACTTTCCAAGTTTCCAAGTTTTGTTTCCTGATTGACAGCGACCCATGATTCTTTCTTTCTCTGGCTGTGCCGGAGATGGAGCATGACCGACAACCACCGCTCTGTCGCTGACAGGTGTCCCTCCACCGGACACGACCATCACCGTCTGATCGCTATCAAGCGCTCAGCACAGTGCTAATGGCTACAGTGGAGCGCAAAATCCGGTGGAAGATAGAAAGAATGGGTACGGAGGAGGAATCTGATGCGGACATGACGCGTCCGAAATCAGAGGGGAGACCCAATTATTGCTCCCCACGCTGCCCGACACTCATAATTCTGTCGCTTCTGTCCCCACCCACTGTCTCAATCTCATGCTACTACAATTACAATTACATTTACATTTACATTTACATTTTCCCCAAACCCAACATTGCCCTCCCACGTTTTCCAAAATCATATCATACCCCACTCAATCTACCACCTCGCCATAATTAATCAAACTTAGGTTTCCAATTACCAATTTCTCGCTATCCAGGATATGCATATTTTTACATGTGCCTAATGCCCATTTTCCATATTACCTTTGCCTGATTATACAGATATTTTTAACACTAGACTAGAGTGTCGCATTATCCATGCTTTCTAATAACAACAAAAATCAAACTTGGATGCATATTATTAGACTTGGCTAATCCCCCTACAGCCTACGACCTCTACGTCAAAGCAGAAAAGACAGGAGAAACGAATATATGCATATAATATTACAACATGCCCATCATTCGCTTGACTGGTTGGATAGAACAAGAGCTAGCTAAGCTAACTAATCGTTAACACAATCTATGTTATTCTTATTTTAATAAAATAATAATTACTCTATCTGTTTTAAGTATAAGTTAATTTTAATTAATAGAAAGTATATAGTATATGAAAGGCAAAATGCATCTAATGTAGAATGTAGAGAGAGAGAGAGGGGAAAGGGAATTAATTAAATTTGTGTTAAGAGGAAAATTGATTGGATTGGATTGGATTGGGGAAGAGAGGAGAGGGGTTGGTTGGTGCAGAAGGCGCAGCCCTATTAGCCGACCCAAATAGAGAGAGGGTCTTCTGGAGCCGACTGAAATGTCGTGCTTAACAGAACACTGTAAAGCTGATCCCACTCTGCCTCATATAAGCCTCAGAAGATGTCTCTGTTTCCACCGCAGATATTCTCTCTCTCACTCTCTCTCTCCTTTCCCATAAAACCCCCCTTCAGGCTTCACCCACCCACTCCACACCAAAACCTTCTCACTCTCACACATCATCATCATCATCATCACCATCACCATCACCACTCCTCCCATTTTCAAAAAAATCTCAACTTGCTCACACTCTCGCAACCCACCCAATGCCATCGTCGAATTCCGGCGAGAGCCGCAGAGCGGCCAAGCCTCAAACCTCCGCCGGAGCTCCTCCTCCGCCGGAGCAAGAGAACCTCCCCTGCCCCCGCTGCGACTCCACCAACACCAAGTTCTGCTACTACAACAACTACAACTACTCCCAGCCGCGCCACTTCTGCAAGGCCTGCCGCCGCTACTGGACCCACGGCGGCACCCTCCGCGACATCCCCGTCGGAGGCGGCAGCCGCAAGAACGCCAAGCGCTCCCGCACCCACCACTCCGCCACGTCATCGTCCTCCTCCTCGATGACGTCAGCGCCGGACCCTACTGTACCTGCATTGGCACCCATCGCCACGAGCCAAGGGGGGTCCATGCAGTTCGGAGTTGACGGCGACGTCAAACAGAGTAACGTCAGCGTCTGCGGGAGCTTCACTTCGTTGCTGAACAACACCCAGGGCTCTGGCTTTCTGGCCCTCGGCGGGTTTGGGCTTGGGCTTGGACACGGCTTCGACGACATGGGCTTCGGGATTGGGAGGTCGGGTTGGGCCTTCCCTGGAATGGTCGACGGGGGTAACATTGGCGGCGGCGTTGCGGCTTCCGGCGTCAACACGTGGCAGTTAGAAGGTGGCGAGGGTGGGTTCGTTGGTGGAGATTGCTTCTCTTGGCCTGGACTTGCCATTTCAACACCGGGGAATGGTCTTAAATGAATTGCATTTTTTTTTAATGGTTTGGGTGCAATGGAGGGTGTGCTTGAGGTTCATGTTTAGGGTTACTATTTCCAGGGTATAATCATCTGTGAAATTTGAAGGACAGCTATGACTTTTTTTTTCTTTTTTCTTTTTTATCTTTTATTTTTTGTTTTTGCTTAATTTTACTTCTTTGAATTGTCTAGTTCTGTGTATGTTTACTTGCTACTAAGCTGTGTGATTCAATTAGTAACTGACGTCATTAGTGTTCTACTTTTTTTCTTTTTTAATCATGTCTGAAATTGGATCGGTTCCGGCGAAGATAATGCAACCATATCTACACGTATAATGTAAGAACAAATTGACTGTTTTAATAGAACAATTAAGAACCTAGCTAGTGTTAATTCTTCGCTGTTTGTAGACTTGGCATAGTTTTAGAAGAAAATAATTTGATAGTATTAAATTAAGTATTTAATTGAACACGAAGTTTGAGTTGAATGTGTTAATTGTTTGAGGGTGTTGAAACGAGGACGAACCCGCCGCAAGCATTTGCTTAATTCATTGCTGAAGAGTGGAGACATTTATCTTTGCCTGGTATTTTCTCTCACTACAGTTTGGCTCTTAGTTTGTCGTTTGTTTTGTTTTGTTTTTCTAACAAGGACTACAAATTATTATACTTCTAATTTTTATATGCATGTTTATTAATTTTTTTCATAAATTGAAAAATTTAACTTAAGTATATGTAATGGACTTGCTAAGTGTTATATTTTAAATAAATAAAATAAATGTTATTTTAATTTTGTGTAATATTAATTGCTTATATTATTTATTTTTGTCGTTTTAATAAATAAAATTAATTATAAAATAATTACTTTTTTATTTATTAATTAGTTTTTTTATATATGAAAATTAACTTAAGGCACTTACATTATGATATAGAAAGAAAAGTGATTTTATTAGATTATAAACACTTAACAATCTTGTTCTATATATCTTTGGATTGGAGCCAACTTGTTTATTCACTTCTTTTAAACTTACAAATTTGGCTTTGTACCAGCAAGGACAGCTTGATAACAGCTTAGACACAGAAAATAATCATTACTGAGTGGATAAAAATGTATTTTAATTTTGTTAATTGCATTTCATTTATTTTATTTAAATATTTAATTTTATTCTTCAAAAGTTTTATTTATTTTCTAAATTAAAAATTAATATAGTTCGTATCTGATATGGCTTAGTTATGTGAATGAGAATAATAAAATAATCATTCTTGTCGCAACTTGCAGGACCGAGGATTAGAGGTGCAGTTGGGTTTTTTACTTTTTAACCCTCGTACTGAGGTTAATTTTATAATACGTAAATAATAATTATGTAATTTAACTAATAATTTCAAGTTTGATTTTTATTTGATGTAATATAAACCAATTAAATAGATTATTTTCTCCTCATATTTTTTCGACCAATCAATATCAATTTTTAGTGAATTTCCTATTTTCTTATCTTCTCTTCTTTTATCTTTATTTCTTTCTTTTTACAGAACACAACATATAATAAGTGTACTTCATATAGCAGCTTGCAAAAGTGAAATCACGATTTCAAGGAAGAAAAACTTTCCTATTAATTATTAGATGCCATTTGTTCAGTGTTTAAAAAGGAAGATTTGAATATCATGTACTGATGTACATAATAAATTATAACTGGTCGTAGTTTGTTTAAACTTTTGAAAACAAATATTGAGATGATTTATCAGATTCTACTTTTTCTTTCTATTGCTTGGTCCGTTTATAGGTACATTAATCTAATTCCATTTGCTTCCTTAGTTAAAAATAATAATTTTATTCATCGATCAATACTTTTTGGATTTTTTTTTACACTTTATATATTTGAAAGAAATATATAAAAAGGAATATGATTGTTAAAATGTGTGATTTTCTTCTTTTTGTTAATTATTTTAAGAAATGATGTAAAAATATTGCAATTGTTTTACATAAAGACAATGTTAATGTTATTTATTTATTTATTGTTTAGATAGATTTTAAGAAGTGGGAACTATATGCAAAAGAAGTGTTAGAGAAAATAACTTTGTTAATTCTTTGGAAGAAGAGATAAAATGGCTAGTGGTATCCATGGTGAAAAAAAAAAAAAGAATCTCTTCATAGATAAAGAGATTTTGTAATTAAAAACTTTAGAAAAATTATGGAATCCACTAAAAAAATATATATGTATATTTTTACCTACTTCTTATTTTTCTTCTACTTTTGCTTAAAACACCTTAAAAATTTATCTATTTTCTGCTCATTGTCTATGCTCTCCTGCTTATTAATTTATTTCGTTAGCCACACAAAGCATTAGTGTAGTTGGACTACTTCTCACACATATGATTTTAATGATGTATTGCATAGGGTGATGCCACGTACCCCATATTACATGATAATAATAAAGAATGGGTTGGTATGTAGGCCCTCGTGAGATGAAATGTATATTTTGCGGTCCATGCTTGAGTAAGATTAAGGATGACAATAATGGATACGAGATGGGAATTATTTTTTCACCAATATCTACGGATTATATGAATATATGTCATCATTTATTTTTTCCACCGATATTTTAAGGTATCGTCTTAGATTAATATGAATCAGTTAAAAAATAAATAAAATTTAATCAATGATTATTTCTATTAAAATTAGACGTTAGCTGAACGGTTTGATCTTAAATTTAATACATTAATTATTTATTTTCAACTCTTTAATTATATGTGAACATTTATGAATATTTATTAAAATATAAATTAAGACAAAATAAATACTATTTTTTTTTTGCAAGACCCTGTCTTTATTCACTCAACCCATCCTTTAGAGTTAAAAATAATTTTTTTAACCATATTCTTACTAAAATTAAATATTTTAAAAATATAATATTTATATTCAAAATAAATTAATATATAATTATAGACATTAATTTAAATAAATTTAAATTGTAGTTACTTTCATATATACTTAGTTCTTACTTCCTATCCGGCTATCCCCTTAATAATTATGAGGAAATTAAAAATATATATTATTTTATTAAAATTCCTTTTAAACTATTCAAATTATCAATAAAAATATACTTAATAGAAGGAGATAGTTTATGATAATGTGGTAAATTAAGGTTTGATACTTTATTATAATCTCGAAAGTTTATGGAATCTTATGAAGGCTCTGTAAGCTTGAATCATAAACTCGTATCGTAAAATCGTAAAAGTTTACTTAATATAACAAATATGTTAAAAATACTTTGAAATAACATAATAACTATTATTCAACTTCATATTAAAGCAAAATAATAAATTTTAATGATAAAGTAGCAAAGTTTAGTAGCAATTTCACATAAGACACAACAACTTACAAGTTCTTAAAAATAAAATAACTAGAAGAATTTGATTCAATCCCAAACATGATAAAGAACAAAGAAAAATGGGTTAGATAAAATATATTATATAGAGAATAAAAAAGGAGAAAGAACATGGTTGAGTTAAGATTGAGGAGAACCTTTGTCTTGGTGGTTGATGTGGCTCGCGAAAGAACACGGACGCAACTCAGACAAAACGTCTGTGTAGAGAACAATGAGTGCAACTGCGAGCGCAGTGATTGCAACTCTCAAAGAATGATGCGCGAAGGAGGAGAAGCAGTGCGACATGATTTGAATGATGCTTAGAGGAGTAGCGACGTGGATGAGAAAGACATGAGGAGGAGAAGTAGTGCAGAGATAACGCGCAAAGAAGAGGGAGAAAGATAAGAAACCCATAATAAAATACACGTTTTGGGATTTGGTAAACTCGTGGATCTCATAGTAAACTCGTGATTTTATACAAGATTACCTGAGTTTGTTCGAGTTTACTCGAAAACAAGATTACCTCTGAGTTGTCCCGTTTTGTCTCAATAAACTTGAAATATCGTAATTTCGAATAATATTACGAGTTGTAACTCGAGATTGACAACCATGGTTCCAATTAAAATTGTCACTAAAGAAAATACACATGAATTAAAAAAAACTATTCAAATTAATTCCAAAACATATTTTACTATCGTGGTTTAATGTATTAATTGTTTCTTAAACTTTTGAAAAATTTTAATTAGATTCAAAAATTTTAAAAAAATTGTAATTAAATTTCTAATATTTTATATATATTTTTATAATTGAGTTATTGTAGGGAATTTGTAATGGTTTTAAACCGTTACAAGAGCAACAAAAAGATTCATGAATTATCAGAAAATGTGTTGAAAAGATAAATAAAATTAAATACATGTATGAGACATAAAGAGGTTGAAAAGATTTTGAGCAGCAGAGAATTTTTTTTTTTATTAGAGGCAATCCTTATGATTTTTATATATTCATTAAATTTGTTGCAGGTTTAATAAACAATCAAAATATACATTTATACTCATTTTTAAATAAGAAAATATTTTTTATGTCACAAGAATGATATTTTCATTTTTTGAATTTTAATATTTTTTTAAAAGAACATCAATTTCTTTAGATTAAATATTTTAAAATTAGTTTATATATCTAAATAACAACAAAATTAGAATACAGGATTCAAATAAACAATAATAGCATATGTTACTTGAATTAAATTCCATTCAAATATGTAGGATGTCATCGTGTAAATCTTCAATAAGCTAGGTCTAGCATGATTTATATATAGCGAAGAATGTTAGATAAATAAAATTATCAAAAAGTAATTCATATATTATATATAGCGATCAATTTTATAAGTTTGGAATTATATATATATATATATATATATATACACACACATACATATATATACAGCGACAGCTGCACGTTTGGAATAGTGAGGCACTTGCCCTCACTACTATTTGACATATACATAATTTTTTATCTAAAAAAATAATATATTTTAAAAAATAAAAATTATATTCTAATAAAATAAATATATAGATTCAGAAAAAATGTTTATTTATTTGATATCTGTCAAATTTTTGAAGGAAATTAATTCTCATGTGATAAAAAAAATTTCTTAATAATGAATTAATTTTTTAAAAAAGTTTAATTATAATATATATATGTATATATATATATATATGTCTTAATATTCACATATATAATGTAATATATTAAAATAAAAAGTTTTTTGATAAAATAAAATTTTGTCCATGCATGTTTATCTTTTGTGTTTTTTATTTATTGTATACGTTGATTGAAAAAATCAAAATAGTAAAATTGTATATATTGATTAAAAAAATCAAAATAAGAAAAATCAGAAGATT